ATCGTTCAAATTTAAAAATAAAATGAAAAAAAGAAGGAGATTAGCTAGAATAACCTATTTTTTTTTAAATAGTTAAAATAATTTTACTATTTTTTATTGCTGAAATAATCTATTCTAGATTTTTTTTTTTCATAATACCAAAATTGTCTTTCGTAGATTCTACCGAGGTATTGACAGACTCTGCCGAAACATTGGTAGACTCTACCGATGTATTGGCAGACTCTGCCAATATCTAAAAATATGTAGATTCTGTTATTGGCAGATTCTGCTGAATATTGGCAGACTCTGCCGAATATTGGCAGATTCTGACGAACATTAACAATCTCTGCCGAACATTGGCAGACTCTACCAAAACATTGGTACACTCTGCCGAAACATTAGTAGACTCTGCCGAAACATTGGCAGACTCCGCCGATGTATTAACAGACTCTGCGGAAACATTGGTAGACTCTACCGATATATTGGTAGACTCTACCGATGTATTGGCAGACTCTGCCAATATCTAGAAATACGCAGATTCTGCCAAAACATTGGCAGACTCTGCCGAACATTGGCAGAGTCTACCAATGTTCGGCAGAATCTGCCAATGTTTCGGCAGAGTCTGTCAATACTTCGGCAGAGTCTGTCAAAGACAATTTTGGTATTATGAAAGAAAAAGAATCCAAAATACATTATTTCAACAATAAAAAAAATAGTAAGGTTATTCTAGCTATTTTTTAAAAAAATAAGTTATTTTAGATAAATTTTTCAAGGAAATATTCATTGTTATCCTTAAACATTCCTTGTTAATTGTTATCGTTAAACATTCCTTATTGTTTTGCAAAGGAATCTCAACATTTTTGTCATTTCCCTAATTTTCCTCTAATCTTTTAGTGTCTAACTAACTAGCTCTAACTTTTATACCCTAAAGTAGTTCGATTTCTATTCAAATGTTTAAAGACCTAGCTTTATTCAATGGTAAGTCCATTTATTTCCTTACAATAATTCGACCTCATTAAAAGAAAAAATGTGAAAAGATGTGACATTGCTTATTTATATTACATGATTTTCTATTATAAAAACACCTAAATTTTTAGTCTTTGAATTCGAAATCTTGGTTTCTACTTTGGGTAAAACTCAAGAAACTTTGAAAAAGACACACTTTATGTTTCTTCTCTTTCACCCTTGGTTGCACGAAAACTTCATCGAATGACTGATTCCCGCTTCGGAATAAAAAAACGAATCAAAAGTTTTTGGAAGCGCTCGGAATGGCAGTGGAAGCACGATTCAAAAAAAAAAAATCAATTTGGAAGCGCTTTGGAAGTTCCGATTCCTATTTGGAAGGTTTTTTTTAAAAAATCGGAAGCGTAAACAATAAATAATAAAAATAGTATAAAATTTAAGCATAAATAAACAAATATAAAGTCCACACTAACCTTCGTTTTTTTATCTAGAAGAAGTTTTTCTTACAAAGAAAGTCCTAATAAAATGTGGGATGTTGGAAATGACTAATTAAACTCACGATGCTCTAAATATTTGATTTTGAAGGTTATGATTATCTTTTTCATTATTGTTTTACTTGATTTAATATTGTTTAAAACAAATTCTTTTCATATAATTTGGTATTTGGAG